CAACCGCCTCCTTTCCTCTGAGAAAACCAAGATTGTTTGTAGACACCAGAAAAAGCTGTCCGTCTTAACCGCACTGAAACGGACATCAGATGGTATCACTGAGAACCCGAACGAAACAATTGTGAACTTGACGAATCACTCGCTCTCGTCCGATGAACTAGATGTTTTGAAGTTGGGACTCAGATATGGCCTGGCAACTCGACCTAACCAACTAGAAATCATGGCTGTGGCTGAAGACGTTTGGAGACAGGTATCACGTTTGGATATTTTCAAGGAAGGAAGATACGTGCAAGATAAGATTAAGAACTCTCTTCGCTCCTTCACTTATAATTATATTGATCTTGACTTGAAGGAGTTTAAGCTAGGGCGCAAGAAGATAAACATTTTAAACAAACTAACCGAAACTTTTGCCATCCTTAAGCCTGATAAAGGAAATGGCATTGTGCTCATTAATCGCTCTGATTATGTAATTTCCATCAAATCTCTTTTTTCTGATTCCTCTAAGTTTAAGAAATTGGATTATGACCCGACATTAACTAGACTTCATTCTTTACAGAACTACCTACTTAAACTTCACAAACGTAATGAAATTACTGACGAACAACTTGACGCTCTAAGACCTATGACAGCACATTTTGGCAGAGCACATGGCTTGCCAAAGACTCACAAGAAATTTGACACTTTACCCAAATTCCGACCAATAGTTGACACTACTAACACTCCACACTACAACGTTGGAAAATTTTTATCTTCTTTACTAAATCCTCTTACTTTAAACGATCATTCTCTTTCTGATTCTTTTGATGCGGTGACCAATATTAACAATATTCCCAAACATTTGTTTCAAGAAGGCTACCAGTTCGTTTCTTTCGATGTTGAATCCCTCTTTACCAATGTTCCACTTTCCCACACAGTCAAAATTATTCTAGATCGTATTTATAAAGACGAATTAATTACAACCACTTTGGAAAAACGCACTTTGAAAAAACTCATTTTGGATTGTTGCAACAAAACTACCTTTTCTTTTGACGAGCAAATTTATGTCCAAAAAGACGGCGTTTCTATGGGTTCTTCATTAGGACCTGTCTTAGCTAATATAATTTTAACTGAATTTGAAAGATTAATAGTTTCCGAGTTGATTGCCGATGGTACTATAAAATTCTATAAACGTTACGTTGATGACACTCTTGTTTTGATAAAACCTTCCAATATTTCTGCCGTTTTAGCTAAGTTCAATAGTTTCGATCCGAACTTAAATTTCACAGTTGATACTTTTCCCGATGGTGTTGTTCATTTTTTAGACATAAAAGTCTCGGTTGATGGTACTGACATTTATCGTAAGGACACCCACACCGGTCAGTATTCACATTTTTCAAGTTTTGAGCCTTTTCATCGCAAAACTGCATGGGTAAAATCTCTGTTCCACCGGGCTTTTAAAATTTGCAGTTCAAAAACACTTTTCAACAATCAAATTGAAACCATAAAATCTTTTATGTCTTGGAATGGTTATCCTAATGGCGTTAGAAACTTTTTGATTAAAAAGCTTAAAACCAAATATATTGATAATTCTACTTCCGATACCGTTAATCATGACACTGATGATGATATGTTGCCTAAAATTTGGATTCGTATTCCTTATCTCGGGAACCGTGGTGATTTTCTTTTAAAATCATGTCTCAATAAAATACAAAGATTTCTTTCTAAACCGGTTAAGTTCATCACTATTTATTACACTAAAAAACTCTCTTATTTTGTTTCCAACAAAGATAAACTTCCTCCTTTATCTCGTAGTAATCTTGTATACGAGGTCGCTTGCCCTGGTTGTGGCAAAACCTATATTGGCATAACACAAAGATGCCTTTCTGTACGTTTGAAAGAGCATGCAACTAGGCTCTCTTCTAGTGCAGTGGGCCAACATTTTTCTGAATGTGAACATGCTCAATTCTTAGCTACTTTACAAGACCAGTTCACACTACTCAACGATCTTCCTTTGCCTTCTGACAACTCTTCTCCTATTGTAAACCTTGTTTTCAACAGCTACAGAATACTTCACATTACAAAATCTAACAACTACAACATTCTTGCTTTTCTTGAAGCACTGCTTATCAAACACAACAAACCTTTTCTTAACACTGGACTTAAAGCTAGTAAAGAACTACAACTGTTCACATAACACTTTAACTTAATCTTCTTCTACATGTCGGGTCTTTCCCTTTCTACCTCAATCCTTTTAATATTAAACATTGCTGTAAATAAGCTAAATTTTCCATTTTCAGTTATTACCATTTTCTTTATCATGTTTCGCTTCGCTTGGATAATCCTTCTTTCCGCCCACATGACAGATGCTCTCTCACTGCGTTGTATATATATATGTGTTGTAAAGTATTGCATTTCATTCTGTCTGAAGATGACTTTGAAATAAAGTCGAAAATTTACAGTCTCAAACTGCGTCTTGTTTTGAATTATATCTTGAATTCTCAAGATGTCCTGTATTTTCGGAATTTGTTTTTTACTATATATATATATATATATATATATATATATATATATATATATATATATATATATATATATATATATATATATATATATACACTATATATATATATATGCAATTTCAAATCTGTTCAATTTTTTATATACAAACCCGTAGAAGCGCCAACATACATACTTCATTTTGTCCCCGACATTACACCATACGCTGTACTCAGGAATTTATCAAGTCGCTGTACTCAACCACAAGTTTATTTGTGTTCCTATAACTGTAAACTTTATTTGGAAAAACCTAAAACAGACTTCTTGAAGAATTCGTTTTCATATCGAGGTGCGGCATCATGGAACAATCTTCCAAATGATGTTACCAACAACTACAAAGTGCTCTCCATAAGTAACTTCAAAACTTTAATCAACAACTATTTCACCAATTTGGGGAGGAATAGTGTGTGACAACCACTTGTGGGGCGGATTTTGATTCGAAGGAGTAATTTTTTGGGTTTGGGAGGGTTAACATAACATACTATTTCTAGTTATATATGTGAATCATTCTAATTTATATATAGTGTTCATTGCATGGGCTTTCTTTTTTACACAGTTAGTATGTACAACAGATTTTTCGTATTTGTAAATATTCTAACGGCCCCTTGAAAAGCAGTTTAATCTGAAGGGCTACCGTTTTTAAATAAGATGAATAATAATAATAATAATAATTTTTCAGCCAAAATAAACGTTTTGCGCTAGCGAGTTGTGCTTCGTATTGTAGGGAACAGCCTAAGACGAAGTCCCGGCTTGGGCCGTGTTAGTTATCAAGCCTTTCGCCTTTCCCTTACCGTCTTCTCTAGCCGCGTCGTGAATCGTAAACTCTCTAAGGGCCTGTTCATATGGGCAAAAGTTATCCCGGTTAACGAGAAAACTTTTCGACTAGCCAAATACTTTTATTCTGTTCATATGGAGAAACTTTATCCCGCTTACCGAGTAAAGTTTTCGGCTGTGACGTGGCACTGAACATCAATTGAATTGAAAAGTTGCTGACACGACAAAAAGTTATCCCGCTAAGCGGGAAAGTTGTGTTCATATGGGGAAAACATTATCCCGGTCACCGAGATCTCGCCTGTCAACAAGTGAGATCTCGGTACACGGGAAAACTTTTCGTCTCATATGAACGCAATGTAACTTTTCATATTTATATTTTCGTAACAAGGCGAGATCTCGCTCGTAAACTTGTCGAAAAGTTTTCTCGCTAACCGGGATAACTTCTGCCCATATGAACAGGCCCTAATAGTAACCATGCACCGAAGGACGTAAACGAACGAATAGCCTCATTAAGAAACGAAACAGTCGTTAAAATAATTGTTCCCTATTTTGGCTGCCACTACTCTATTCATTGGCAACCGTACTATAGCGAGCTCTTATTGGTTTAACGTTTGGTATAATATTATCGGTCTAGTAGTTGTGTTTTGCATAATTGCTTTCAACGTAATTGTAAACTTCAAAATTTGCATAAATATATTAACACGATACGTTACCCTCATTCTTGGGTCACTCTCCTCCGCAGAGGCTGCGTACTGTTTGTAGTTGGAACTGGAAAGAATTTGTAGTTTGTTTTCTTTAACGGGAGCTTGCGACAGGCTAGAAGCGAGCGCGTGGAGTTAAAAGGGGGCATCGTGGACATTTGGAGATAATATAATAGGGAATCACCCCTCCTTGTAGATAGAAAACAAACTCCAGAAGAAAACAAAGTTTTTCAAGGGCTAAAAATAGCTGCCTCTAGCCTAACGTAACACCAGAAACGTAATTGCATTGTGGTTGATCATGACCCTTTATAACGCTATAAGTAAATTGAAATGTATTTGCGAAATCAGCATCACAGATGCTTAACTTGGAGTTACTTTGAGATGAACAGACTGTCGTTTATACAAAGAAAAAATAGTTCACTCTGTTTTTGCCGTTTTGATTTTACACGTCTCAGGGCATTTCATGATTTGATTCATGATAGTTGTTTGCATGGAAATAAAATAAAAATGGCTATAGATATATTATTATAAAGAGAAATACAATTAAGCATCAATTCCAAAAAGGTAAACTGCAGAACCAAAAGACAGACATTTTCATGTCATTACGCTGAAATCAATCAGACTGAATATAGCCATGCATGGCGAACGATGTAAATGATTATTTCAAACCTAGTATTTGTAAATCTTTCAAATATTGTCAATGTCTTATTTTTAATTTATAATTTATAATCTATATACCCATCAAACCTCCATTGAACGCAAGTTAAACATGCTTGTTTCAATGGTCGGTCAGTAATATTTTCCAAATATATTATATAAACAG